GGGGGGGGGGAAGAAGAAAACCCAGAAGTAACTGAGAATTTTGTGTATTTTTTAGAAAAAAAATTAACTCAGCTGGAGAAAAAGCATTGAAAATTTTCAGCCTAAGCAGTGTGTTTTCTTCTCTGATTGAAAAAAGCTATGAACATCAAACCCAAAGAACTACCATTTAAAATAGTTTGTGACCTCTAGTATAGCAATCCAAATAAATAATGCAATAAGACATAATAAACACTAAAGTATTAAAATAATTGTATTGTAATACTTTGTGACAGTAACACAAATTTTTTCAAACGTATTTCTCAAAAAGCCATTTCAAAAGATGCAAAGCTGGAAGCAGCCAAAAGGTACAGTTTATGCATTTACTCTGCTACTCTCACGTTTTTGTTGTTGCAATTACAGCAACAGTATTGGAGTATTCTTCTGTGGACCCAAGACCCTCTCTACGATCCTTCGAAAGACATGCAATTCATATTCATCAGTTGATCCAAGAGGAGTTCAGTTTCACTATAACAAAGAAAGTTTTTAGGCTGTACTTCTTAACTATATAATAGGTATTACCAAATTGTGTATTTTTTCCTCACCTTCTCCTGTCCTCTACTCATTCTGCAGCATTCAGGCCAGATATTAGGAGTTGTAAATTGAAGTAGGTAGGTGCATTGGCTTCAGTACAAAAATGTCATCCTATGCCAACTAAAGATTTGGACCCCATCCTTAGCCTTTCCTTCAAAGAACTGAAGGGCCGATTCGCCATTGCTTACTTAATGATGCTGTGAATCCATCTACATCTACAAGCACGAACCACTAACCTTTGAAGAAAAAGGCATGAGTAAAATGGACATTTAGAACTGTAACTCACTGTTGTGTATGATCAAACTACTACCACAGGCAATACTCGCGTTCCTGCTGTTTAAGTCGTGCCCGGACATTCAAAGCATTTTCCTTTCTGGTGTTTTGACTTTGCACTTCTTATAGCCTCCCATTGTGCACACATCCACATCCACATCCCTTTTGTGCTGTGGCAATTCTGTTTATACACAAAATGTCCAACAAATTCCTTTTGCCCTACCAAACTGTGCACCATTTAAACCTGCCATTTCTGCAGCGATGGTGGCTGTGCATGCCGTAAGCTAATATGTTCTGAGGGTTAATACATTAAGGAGAAATTTTTGCACTCAGCAAATGGATCTCCTGAGACAGGCAACTGAAACTGTGGAAAAAAGGTTCAGGTGTCCTTTACATGTCACACGGCTTCATGGGCACTGAAGAACGGGCTTTAAAAGATACAGAATCACCGATATATGACAGAGTGACTGTGGTGGGAAGGCATCCCTGGAGATCACCTACTCCAACCCCCCTGCTCAGAGCTGATTCAGTAAAGACAGGAGTGACATTTGCATTCTTCCAGTCCTCAGAACCTCCTCCCATCGCCATGACCATTCAAAGACAATGAAGAATGGCCAGCTTCCTCAGCACTTGTGGGTGCATCCCATCAGTTCCCATAGACTTGTTTAAAAGCTCCCTAACCTGATCCTCCTTCACTGAGGGTAAGTCTGAATTGCTTCAGATTTTCCCACTTGCCTCAGGAGCCTGGGATCTCTGAAGGTCAGCCTTACCTGTAAAGACTGAAGTGAAAAAGGCATTGAGTACCTCTATCTTCACGGCCTTGGGCACTAGGTCCCCCATCCCATTCAGCAGCGGACCAACCTCTTCCTAGTCTTCCTCTTGCTATTCATGCATGCATAGCAGCCCTTCTTCTTGCCCTTCACTTCTCTCACCAGACTCAACTCCCAATGGGCTTTGGCTTCCCTAACCCCACCCCTGCACACTCAGTCTCTCTATATTCCTCCTGCATCACCTGTCCCTTCTTCCACCTCTTGTATGCCTCCTTTTGTGCTTGAGTTTTGTCAGGAGGGATTTGTTCATCCATGCAGGCCTCCTACCACCTTTGCTTGACTTACTCCACAGCAAGAGGGATCATTTTTGAACTTGGAGGAGGCGATTCTTGAAAATCATCCAGTTCTCCTGGACCCTTCTTCTCTCTAGGACCACACTGCATGGGATCCTTCCAAGCATGGAATTCCTCCTGTGTCCTCCCCATGCCACGTATGTTAGTGTACAGGCACTTCAGAGAGGCATCCAGCCATGTGGGTTTTCCAGAAGAGGTGTTAGAGCTGTCCTGTAGGCACTTGCCTGTTTCTGTGGATACCCTTGGGGTGGGCCCCCTTCTGCCCTGTTTTGCTGATTGCGACATCTCTCCTGTTCACATCATCCCGCACACTTTGCTTGTCGCCCCAGTCCGCCATTTCCTCACTTGATTGGTGGTCATCCACTCCCTCCCCATTATTCCTAATTTTAAGCTCTCGTCACAGGCTGGCCAGCCTTTGCCCCACTGCAGTGGACCCCATCTCTTCTAACAGTCCTTGATCCTCAGAGCAGGTCTCAGGGTTGAAAAAGCCAGATCCCTGTTGACTTGCAGGATCCATGCCCACCAAGTTCCCCATCATACTGAAAAGCCTTTTGTTGGGTTGGTTGTTCAATAATCTTTGCCGATGCGTGAGGAACCGTGTTTGCCTGCCATTTTGTCATATGCCAAGCTGACAGCCTCGAGAATGGTGTATGGGTGTAAAACGCGCCCAGACATATATCGCTGCTTAGCATTTTTAACAAAGTCAAATTCATATCTGCATTTCTTGTTTTTAAATCTGCCTTGTAACTGATCCAGCCTTTCCTCATAGGTCACAAACTATGTCACTCAGACTGGTTATCTGTTCTCTGCTATACTCACATAGCACTGAGAGGTAGGTAAAAACAGTTAAGTCATCTTTTCACCTCTGCAAACCTTCTCAGGCAGCTGCTGGGAGTCCTGAAATACAGCTGAGGCCAGCTGCAGAACTGCTGGAAATGCTGTTGTCTGACAACTGCGTTTCAAATGACCCATCCAGGGCCTATGGAGTGTTCCCTGGAGCCACGTCTTCTAACATGCTGGGACTAACTGGGCTGTGCATGCCATCTGTACAACCGCTGATGCTTTCTCCAAGAGAGGACTGTCTCCAGCTGGTTAGGTCAGCCAGCCTTGCAGCACCTTGTATATCAAAGCAATGAAACAATGGCCTTCATGCAACCCAAATCTTTACTCATCTTCTCATAGCTCTCACTGGCGCTAGAGGTGCCATGGGTATAGGTCCTATCCCCTAGCAGTCCTTTCCTCACAGCTTTGCGTTGCTCATCTTTGACGCCTGAGTATATCATTGCCACCTTCCTAGACCTGATGTTGTCTTCCACCTTAGCTTTGTGACTTTCGCACTGTTAAGCACGTGGAGCACAGGATAATTCTGGAATGAGGGAGAAACAAAATAAAAAATATGGGAATGTTGTAACATTCACATAAGCTAGAAAAGTGAGAAAAATATTTCCCTATTCCCCAGCACAGAAAGTTAAAGAAAAACTATATTTGAGTTGGACTGAGGCATAACAGAGTTCACTAGGATCACATAACCCATTTACCCAGCTACACAATAAAAATGGGAGGTAAAAACATCTTGTGTATGTCAGCACTCGAATAAGACAAATGACAACCTTGTATATGTATACTTATACACACACACACAAATGCCCACTAGAGGGGATGTAAGTGTATAGACAAAAGAAACAGAACAATAAAAATTATGTCACAGACGACTCCAGTATTATTTTATACCTCTTCTATTAGGGGATACAGTATGTGTGAACTGAGATCGTTCTACAACATACAGTTGTATTATTATTAAGTTTAGGGCAATGCATCTTTGTTTTAAAATTGTTGAAGTTTTTTTAAACGCCTGCCTATGTGAAATGATTAATGCGGTGCATACTGTGTAGAAGTGGAGTGAGTGGAGAATTAGAGCCTCTGCCAGTTCACCTAGAGGCATTTATCTTTTATTTTTTTCCCTGGTGCCCGTGCTGAGCCTCAGGGTAAGCTGACACATTTTTTAATATAAATTAAGCTTCTTTTTTTATGTGTGTTGAAAATCTTGAAGGAAATGAGAAATGTGTGTAGGCACCAATACCAGCTGCCATTGCATGAAAGAAAGAGGTGACAATTTCCTGCAGATTCTGAATGATTGTTATAATGGGGTTGGATCGGAGGTAACAAGCACAAAGATATTGTGCTGCCAGAAAAACAGGATCTGTTCTCCCCCTAGCCTCATGCAACAAGATGTAACATTTAGCTTCTGGCTCAACATGGCATCTCTTCACTGCTTTGATTTATTCCCACTTTTGCAAATCACTGTGGTATGCTACAGGAGCTGCATTTAGAGCCCTTGTTATAGTTCATTGAGTAGCACTGCTGTTATCACCACCAGAGGAGAATTTCACTTGTATCAGGACTGAGTGACCTAGAATAAAGGAAAAATAATAATAATAAAAAAAAGAAGCGAGGAGGTTTGTTGGACTAGGATGAAACTGCAGTTAGGTTGAATGAAAATCCCTTTATTACAAATACAATTTAAATCAAAATGGGAACTAGGAAGATTTGGCTTCCTGCCTTGTTTTGAATAACACTGAGCACACAGCAGCTATGATAATGTGAGTGCATATGTAATGACTCTATTATTATGTTTATATAGGGAAACATCATTCACTGTCAGGGAAAATGAAAGATATCTTCATGGATTTGTCCATTCAG